TTAGGTTATGGGAAAGGTCGGCTTGTTTTTTATTTGATCATGAATGTCAATAGTGTGGCTGTGTATCTTAACAAGGAGGATGGTTCTCGACTTGCAATGTTTGTGCAAGAAAGTTTTTTGTTGGATATCAAGGTATTATAATCTCTTATAATCTCTTTTTCTTAAAGTGAAATTAAGATTATCTAGATTATTTATTATCTTAGTTTGTTTCTTCAGCGGAATCATCGGTTTTGTATATCCTCTATTTCATCATTTGAATTTCCTTATCACATATAATTATCATAGTGTTTTTCCTTTGAACAAGGTTTATCCGAGTTCTACCTCCATAGGAGGCACTTTAGGAAACTTCAGGCTGTGTGATCTGTCACTGGGATCAGATCACTGTTGGGGTTGGCTTTGTGATCTACGCAATCAAGAAGCTGAATCCTTAATACAGGTAATTCCATATCCTTGTATAGACGCTGGTATTTTGGTTGTTACTAAGTTTCTAATTATCTCTCTCTTCCATCTCCTCTTCAGTTTACATTCAATTCCTACAGTGTGGAAGACGATGATTATGAAGGTTACGACTATAGTTTGACTGGCCGGCTTTCTGCAGTCCGTATTGTGTTTCTTTACAGATTTGTTCAAGAGGTAGCTTTTGATTCAGTGTAGTCACTTTTTTACCTGGTGTGATTTTACACCTGTCAGTTACTGTTTCACATTGAGCTCTCAAGCCTTGCCTTATCCTCTGCCTGAAAAAGTGGCATGTCACTGCCTGTACCTGAATACTACTCAAAATATTCTGGACCTTGACACTACACCACCATACTGGTGTGCTAATTTGTGTCCTCAAAAGTTTGAGATGGCACTTGCAGCGTGAGACATTCTAGAGATGGCGCTTACTGGACTCAATATAGTACATGTTTATTTACACTCTTTTTTTGGCTTCCATTTTTGTCCAATTTTCCTGTGCTCTTGAGCTTAAGGAGCCTAATATGTATTTTGGTTTCATATATCATATAAAAGCAACGTGGATATATCCGCTTTTGATTACTGTGTTCACTAGACTAGCACAGTCATTTCCAGAATTGAGGCTTTTGAAACACAATACTACAATTTTTTTTCCATGAAAACTGCTGTTGTTATGGGTTTTATCTAATATCTCATGGTAAAGTTTCAAAACTCGTATACTTAAAAATTTCTTTGAAGTCTAGTCAGAAACTTTTATTTTGGATACTCTTCACACAGCTCTTTAGCACTCAAGTGGTAGATCTCATTTTATGTCTAGAATATGTTGACCAAATCTCTGCTCTTCTGTCATGAAGTTGGAAGACGATACATAACATGGCTTGTATCGAATTCACAAAATTTTTTCTAAAGAAGCAAGAGTCACTTACTTCATTCAAAGGCTTAATCTACCATTTCCTTTTGTGAGAAACCAGTTAGTTGAACCAGACCAATGTACATGCATATGGAATTGCGTTTAAGTTAGCTGTTAGACCATACGAGTTACTC